TGTAGCGACAACTGTATGCTTTAGGGCCTATTTACATAGAGGTGGAGGCTCAGGTAGGTGAGGTAACCCGCCTGTTCATATAATCTCTTGTTTTATCTTGATCACGTATACATGATAGGTGGGGTGACCCGTCCAGATGGGTTGCCCGGTCTGCTGAGTAGGGTAACCCTGTCAGCCGGGATAACAATTTGCCATGTAAACGTCTCAAAGTGGGGTAATCGCCTAGCCAAGGTGGCTTCCTGTTGCCTAAAGATGATGTTTCTTTGGTATGTTAATTATCGATTCATGTAAACAATTTTATAAATGTGAAGCACCGTCACGGTTCTATGTTTAAAAAAAAAAAAAAAGAGTCTGTATATCCGAGATGGTTGACTACGCTTTTAACATAGGAACTTAAATCGATAAGGCGAAAGTGAAATTATCTTCTTATGTAACAAAATTTACTTCGGCGAAGAAGGCATCCGCTTGAAATATTCATTTTTGGAACTTAAGGGATGAGGTTGTAGTTCATAACGTCATTTATGTTTTCCTATCATAACCGCTTACTTCCGCCTTCATTTCTCAATCTATCTGTCACCAATAACAGCATATATTCGCATAACACATACATTCGTAAAAGGCACTGACTACCGATATCATCAATTTCGAACCAATGTTAAATATTTTTTTTGTGTTTTTTCAAGGACCAAAAATTTGGAATTCCTTACCTGCTCTGGGTAAAAACGAAAGGGGAAAGAAACTATGAGCCTTGAAAAATTGTATGAAAAAATCAGAGAAATAAGCGGGTCGTTGCAACATCAAGACAATGATTGACGAGTTTAACGTTTTTCAAAAATTTGATATACATTTGGTTTCTTTTTTCATTTCGCTATTTAATTAACTGTATACATCCTTCATACTGACAACTTGTATTAATTGTTATAGACTCACAACCGAGAATACGTACCTTTTATGGAAATAATTATAAGCTTTCATAGATTTAACAGGCAGGTTGTTACATTTATGGAATATCAAATATTCACCATTATCAATTCCCCGGCTTTGTTATGAATGTACGGTTCAAAGATGCCTAGCACCAATTATTTGTGTGAGCATATATTACAGTTATGCTACCAGTGCAATTCACCGTAACGTTATACGCGTTATTTTCAATCTTCCTTTATCCCTTCATCTACTCGTTTTTTTGAGCTGGTCCATTAGTCTTCCGTGGAGAATAAAGGAGTGTAAAAAAAAATATGAGCTTTGTGCAGCGAATTGTTTCACCTGCATGTAAGAAATGTAGATGGCTGTTGACGGATATGAAATTTAGATAATTTAACAGTTTTTTTTTGTACTTTACTTTTGTTGATGTTATCATTTTTTCCTTTATTGTTGAAAACTCGTCCCTGACAGCTTAATCGTTAATTTTTTTGTACGGACTTATTTTGGAATGAAATTGCATTTGGGCAGAGTAGAACTTTTACTTTGCTTTTTATTCGCTTTTTATCATCATCACTCGTCTATTTTATGCTAAAATAACAAATGTCTTCTGAGGCATTTTTCGACAGCAACATCAACAGCTACCGGCATTTTTCATAAATTTCTCATATTACATGTACAACGAAAATGGCATTTGTTGAAACGTAACGAAGTGGGTTACGGTTATTTGACTCGGAACCCGGGCAGTAACTGGTAACTTTCAGACCTTTTTCATGAAAGTGAACGAGAGACTATGAAGTTGAGTCCACACAGCGCATCACGATTACTTTTCTTTTGTTACCCACACAGGGCATAACGATTCTCCTCTTTCAATCACGTGAGCCCACACAGCGCATCACGATTACCATTCTTTTGTTACCCACACAGGGCATAACGATTCTCCTCTTTCAATCACGTGAGCCCACACAGTGAATCACGATTACGTATCTTTTGTTAGCCACACAGGGCATAACGATTGTCCTCTTTCACTCACGTGGACCCATCCAGCGCCTCACGATCCTTTTCTTTTGTTATCCGCACAAGGCATAACGATTCTTCTCTTTTTTTAATCACGTGAGCCTACACAGCGTATCACGTTTACTTTTGTTTCGTTGAATCGCATAGGCCCACACAAAGCATAACGGTTTCCTCTTTAAATCATGTGAGCCCATATAGCGTATTGATCACGACTTTAACTTGAATCACGTGAGCCACACAGTGCATCACGTTTGATTTTTTCAGTCCCCAGCACACGAGTTTCCCGATCTAACTTACATAGGGTTAATTACAAATAAACTTAAATGCTCCCCAAACGGCTACTCGCTTCCTAACGAGAAAATTTACATCATGGGGGAACCAGCAAATCAGAGTTAAAATACATTCTTGCAAACTAAAGAAATACATTTGACCTTAAATCTTCCGGGAAAACCATTTCCAACAAATCTGCATAATTATAGTCTCGTGGTGGAAACCAAAACAAACATCCTATGCGCCGTGTCCTCATACGCCATGTTCACTAGGACGCCTAGAGCTTTTTTTTTTTTTTTTCGGCGAACTCAGCAAAGGCAAGCATGACAATGCAGGCGCTACAAGGACCAACTGAAACGACAACTGGCTCAGGCTGGTGTTGATCACAAAGCCTGGCAGACGCTCGCATCAGACAGGGTCAAATGGAGGTCAGCTAACAAACGCGTAGCTCAGCAGTTCGAGGACTCTAGAGTGAACACTGCTAAGGAGAAACGCAAGCATCGAAAGGAGTCGGCCAATCAAGCAACGTCTTGCAGCAATCAGACCTTACCCTACCCCACCTGCTCAAGAATATGTAAATCCCGAATTGGACTCATCAGTCATCAGAGGGCATGCCGCTGATCTTCGCAGTACGAAGAATCTGCCATCATCATCTCCAGTTCTTCCACATTTATTGTTGTTGTTGTTTTTTCACGAAACTACGCTGTTACTGATTTTCTAGTGTGCGATAAAACATAAATCCTATCGTCTGAATGAGAGTAGATCTGGAAGAACTGCTTTCTTTGAAAGAGGCTGACCAATCCACTTATAGCAAAAGTCATCTGCAGAGTCCAGGAAACAGTTAGTTGCCTGAAATATATACTTCTGGCTCGTGGAAACTGATTGGTCAGCCGCTGTGATGTTATTTGTTGTTTGTGAGTGCTGTTATTCAGTCCTCGGTGTTTGCGTTCTTCGCTGTTGTCAATGTCGTGAATGAGTTGTCTGTGCCAGTAGCTGCTTACAGCTCTTACAATGAGGAGTCTAATTTACCAATAAGCGCCCATGCTCTACTCCCCCGAGTAAGCGCCGAGCCCCCGATACCATGATATCAAACAAGCGCCCACCTCGAATAAGCACAGCCTCTTCCCTCGCTTTCTTAATGAGTAGGGATACAAGGAAAATCGGTTTCTATTGCAGCTTTATTTGTAACTTTTTAAGGACCAACCACAACCGAATCAGTACAGGAGAATAGTTTCGCTTCTAGTTATTGCTATCGCCATACTGACTTGACGTCTGCGTGGATGTTGCAGCTTTGTTTTTTCTATTTAAGATATAGCCAAAATAAGGAAACAGTTCGTTGAAAGGAAAACTTAATAAGCACGCCCTAGATTAACCACCATCCTTCGTATAAAAGTGCCTCTCCTTTTGCCGTAATTTTAGATACGCTGCCCGGACGCCTATTCGAGGAAATACGGTATTACCCAAATTATGTCTTGTGATGTCAGTACAAGCATGAAATGCTGCTGAAAGTGATGCAAAGTGATGCTCGTCTACTGAGGCATGTGTTGAGGCCGATGATTAAAATTTTCCTCCAGTTTCCTCAGTTTGTGGCGGTCCTGGCTTTATAAAGTTGCAATTAATTTACATAGTATCTACCTATTCTCCGTAAATGACACTTGAAAGACAAAAAACAAATAACAAAAGAGCTGTGAATAATGATTAAAAGCTTATTGACTACGGAGAAAGTTTACACAATGCTTTCTTGAAGAAACGTCTGGAAATTAAGAATCTTTGGTTTCTACTTTAATATCATACGTTCGTAAAATCTTTGAAATTCTTCGAGCCTTAAGACAGGCCTGTTAACTTCTATTGAATTCACAAACAGACGGTAGACCAAGGAGTAGTTGCTGTGATTGGTCGACGAAATCTCCTTCGAGCAGTGGACGAACATCTCAAGATGGTAGACAGAGAATGTTCTGAATTTTCTTCTACTTTCACATTGGAAGCAAAGAATCAGGAGCCACATTACTGTTATCGTCATCTGTAACACTCAAAAACCAGCAAAAACTGGACCCAGCAGCCTCTATCAGGTGCACTGAGGGTTAATACAAAAAAAAAGATCCTATATCATTTTTAAAGAAACCAACCGAAAACAGATGTGTATGAGTAGATGGAAACGTTACAGAATTAATCTCCTGCTTATTTGACACCATCGATGTCACATGGCGTATACATCGAATAAGAATTTCTGGGTTACAACAATTATCTTAAGCGAAAGACATGACATTACCCACCAGCTAAAGTATCTTTTTCCGTCATATGTTCCGTTGTGTTTAAGGCAATGCGGTAAGTCTTTCCCTGAATAAAGAGAAAAAACTTTCAGTTATCTAAAGTAAGAGAAAATCAATATAAAAGGCGAGCCTCATTTACTACTAAAAAACACGCTAACAAGTTGTTTTAATCTAAATGCAGGTTAGTTTTATTATGGATGAGGGGAGAACCTTTTCCCAAAAAACTTCATGAAAGGACAACGTTTCGATCTTGGGGCGGATTATCTCGGTACTAAACCTCAATGAGTACCCTCGTTTTATTACCTTCAGAATACATTTCCATGATGCCTATCAATGTTAGTGCTTCAGGACAGCTCCCTAGACAGTGCGTATAAAATAGCAAGATAGAAACGAAAGATACCTGATACTTACAGCAATCGATGTACAGTCTTTTTAAAAATTTCAAATTCACGAACTTATTCACTTTTACATTTACTCTTACGTAGTTCTATCAAAACATTTCAATATTCATATATCAATATTCACCTTCACCCGGATCTAACTCTACGCCGAGCTGATGTCCAATTGGTCCAATTGTAGAGACAGATCCGACGTACCTGACTGTTCCTCGCAATTCCCATGGCCAACGTTTAAACAATACCTTCATACCTACTTTAATATCATTAATTGATTTAGGCTTGAAGCCCTGTTTCATTGTATCACCTGTAATAAATAACAAAAACAATAGATAATCAAAACGATAATCAAACTAAATACATCACGATTATCAATTAGACTTCATTGATCTTTTTAGGTCACCAAACGCCAACATAACCCAGTAGTTTTACTCGGAGTTCAAATGACTTAGCTCTGCGTAACATGAGCTTATGAGCGAATCTACACACCAGTGCCCCCGTCCCCAATCCCCCTCCCCCCCCCCAAAAATCCTATCAAATACTCACTTGTGGGTAATAATTTGTCAGATACGAGTAAGAGTGTGATTATTGGTAAGACTACTATTTTTCTGCATATAAAACACACGCAACCCAAAATTTCACTATTCGCTCTGACGAAGGGCTGCCAGTCAAAACGTCAGCTTTAGAAATTCTTTACTGTGGCCAATTTACTTCATCAACTCAATTGATAAAACCAAGATATCTTGCTATACCCCCCATTGACGCAGCGCCACAGTTTCTTCAGAAACTTACCCTCTTCAACCTTGTCAATATTTGCCTCTATCTTGTTTGTCATGCCCTTGGTTTGGTTGGTCGGTTTGTCCACCAGCACAGCTTGATGTCGATCCTGGCCTGTGAGGCGTTCTACCTTCTGCACCAGACCCTGCATAGAGGACGTTAAACTGGCTATCTCCTGTGACTGTTCTGTATTCTTGGCCACCAATCCTTTTATCTGCTGTGACTGATTATTCAACTGTTGTGACTGATCATTCAGCTGCATATCTGCTGTGACTGATTATGCAATTATGCTGTGACTGATGTTCAGCTGCTGTGACTGATTATTCATTGTAACTGATCATTCAGCTGCTGTGACTGATTATGCTGTGACTGATCATTCAATAGAGATGATCAATCGCTCTATCTGCTTTGACTGGTCTTTAACCTGATTCTGAGTGGTCTCAAGGCTGCATACAGCTAAGAGCAAGTGGCTTTCCATGTGCGATTCTAAGTGAGATTTTGTTCTTGTTCTTGGAAACTGAAAAAAAAAGACCATGTGGTTAGTAAAATCTTTAAAAACAATCCTAACATTCAATTTTTGTCAATTTTTTATCTAATTGTTCCATCCAGCAGTGCACAGTTTAATTCAACTACCACACTGCTTAGTAGGAATTTTTTAAACCCTACAAAATGAAAAATGTATATATATTTGAGAATCCGTTTTAATTCATTTTACAACATGATTTGCAAATACAATACAAAGTTACGATCTCCCCTCCAAACCTGCAAGTTAATATAAACTGAAAGCTGTTTCATACCGCACTTTGGCATCCTAAGTTCTTGTATTTACAATCAATTTCTGTTAAAGGACAGTCATCACGAATATGAGCCACGAGCTAAAACATAAAGATGAAAAAAATTTAGTCTAGAGCGAGCAGCCAGACAAATCCCCCCTCGTGCCTAGCGAAAAGAAATCATTCAGCGTCTCAAAATTACTCCTTAGATTTCGTATTTTATGAATCAGGAAACTGAATTTAGAGAAAAAATTTAAAAATGTTCCCTATTAGTCTAAGGCATTCCCCAGCAAAATTCAACGGAGCAAACTTCCTTGAAGGGATCGTTACGGTGTTATGGATTGCTTCCCTGTCATGGAGCAATCAAGATTAAATTCTGGCGGGCACACTCAAGGCAGAAAATAACGACCTTAATGCCCTCTGACTGATGAAGCCAGGAAAGTATTCAAAACAGTATTGCACGTTCTTTGAACACTAAAGCACGGAAAGCCTCCAATTGCTCACATAAAACAGGACTAAGCACTATGTCCCATGCGGGCTGTGTGCATGAACTTTCAATTAAACTCTCGTGAGAATTACTGAGAATCACTGAGAATATTACATCTTACCTTTTCTCGTGGAATATTACTCAGACCACAATTGTTGGTACATTGAACCGGAAACTTTTGACAGACGTTATGATGTTGCTGAAGAAAATCGAAAATAAGTTTTTATAGCTAAAGTACTTTCAAAATTCTCCCCGTCCTATTAAAATTATGACCAATAAAGATAGGTTGTTGTACGAATATTTTCATCAGTAAGGGATCAAAGTTTTTGAACCCAACATTTAAGCTCATCTTTAGTAAGATGTTTCTGAGTAACAATTTTGTATCGAATAAGAGAAGATACCTAGAGCTCAACAAAATCTTGACTTAATAAAGATTGAAAGTCGTCACCACTTTTCCACTTTGGGTAAAAAGCAAAAGTTTGAGATGCTGCCCTTGTAGGAAGCTGTATAAGGAATATAATTTTGTTAACAAACCTGCTTGTTTTTCACGATAAATGATCCTCGACAATATTCACAACTAACTTCCCTCCAGACACATTCCGTTATCTTGTGATTGTTCATATCTCGCCTGGTGAGCTTCTCTTTACATCCTTCATTTGGACACTCCACCACTTTGAACAGGCATTCTGACTGATGTTCCTTAAATCATAAGTTATAGATAATAAACTGCACTGTAATCATGATCCAATCTGCTAAGACATAAAACAGGCTAAAGAAAAGAGAGACTTGACTGACAACAAAACAAGCGGTTCATTGACGGTTTAGGATCTTAGAAAAGAAATGTGAAATTTACGTGTGACTTATTGATAATAATGATATCCCTAAGACTAGTGATAAATATTACACAAACGTCTATTAAAATGGGCACCTATCAAATATTATCAGACAGGAAGAAAATCTGTCACACGCAAACTGCTGATCATGACACTTTAGATTGCAAATACTAAAACAACACCGCTGTTCAGTCCAGACAGTTACTATTGTGCAAGAAACTGTTGAGTTACGCTTCACAAGATACCCTTATCTGCTTCGTGTAACATCTTATCTTGTTGCCTGGATGGTTAAGAATAGCAGGAAGATGCGCAACGCTTGCTTATTATTTAGGAGACAAATTACAATGTTAGAGAGATTTTTAAATTTTAAGGATTAACTGCAAATGGAGTGATGGAGAATACCCTGACTGTGGATATGACGTAGATATATTACCTGCACAGCTCGGAGTTCTCCAGTCCAAGGACAATCAACATAAGAACATTTCACCCTGAGATCCAAAATTTTGCGATGACAAGCGACATCTGGAAATATCTGACAACCCAGACACAAGCATATTCATGGTCAATACATTCAAATCAGGTATCAGGTTACACCGATGTCAACATAATTATGCTCAATTACGATCTTTACACACTTCAAGGACGGCGTGGAGGACTTGAAACAAGATAGAAAGAGAATGAGATCTTGAGCGAGAAAAAAGAAAACGAAAGAAATGCCGTCAGTTTTTGCTTGTAGCATACAAAGATCGGGCAGAGTTTAAATGGACTGGCATGTTAAAATAAAATTATAGTGCAGTATTTCAAGATGGGTTTAACAAGATCGCAGAATTCTCCATGTGGTTACTCAATATCTGTCGCGCAAGATACGGTTTCGTCGAATTTCTCTCGCTGAAAACGCTGTCCTTTCGGTGAAATACTTTGTTTGGCGCCGAATTCTTGTCTAATCTTTAGGCTACTCGTTTTAAAAGAAGTCAAAACAGCCCACAAGACGCTTATCTCCCCAATTGTAACATTGTGCAAATTGAATACTGCTGGTCTCCTAATTCTTACCAATTCCTGAATTATTTCATTGACGGTGGAACATTAGGAATGCCAGGTTGTGAAATTGGTAAGAATAAATGGAAGATAAATTGAATGCGTAATACCCATCACTACCACGTTGTAATCACACAGCAGTGGTAGAGTTTGATTTCAAACAACAATTACGAAAACCTCGGTTTTGGTAAAGACGATCTGCGATTGCTGATTATCAAAAGCGCTTACAAAAATATCAAAATTACGAGACAGAACCATTCGTAACTTGTTGCTTAAGTTGCAAAATCCTTCGCTATGTTCCTATATATAGATAACAAAACTTCTCTCTCAAACAAAATAAGAGACGATGTAAGAGCTCAACCATTTGAATTTTAACCTCAAAACGTGTAACTTCACGTCAGGCAAGGCAAGCTTCATTATTCGCAGCTGTCAGGTAGGCTGACGAATAACAATACCAGTATTACAACAGTAACAGATTGTTAAAGAAAAGAGCTATATCCAGCTATATCCCAATGTTGAATCTAGTGCGAGACTGAAATTCATTCTTCCCAGAGAGAGAATTCAAAAATAGGATCTATCTGTCTGTATCGAGTCCGAATACAGTGCGAGACTTGAGGTCAATCTTAATTAACATTTGCACTTTCTGTGCGTGCCCAATAGAGTGCGAGACTTGGGGCAATCTTACTTGACATGTGCGTTTTTTTTGTGTGCCGAATAGAGAATGAGACTTGTAGTCAACCTTAGTGGACAAGTGCGTTTTCTGAGCGCGCTGAATAGAGTGAGAGAAGTCATTCTCACTTAACATGCGAGATTTCTGAACGTGCAGAATAGAGTAAGAGACTTGAAGTCAATCTTTCTTAACATGTGCGTTTTCTGTGCGTGCTAAATAGAGTTAGCGACTTGCAGTCAATCCACCTTAACATGTGCGTTTTCTGAGCGTGCTGAATAGAGTGCGGGACTTGAGGCAATATTACTTGACATGTACGTTTTTTGTGCGTGCTTAATATAGTGCGAAACTTTCGGAAATCTTACTTAACATGTGCGTTTTCTTTGCGTGCAGAATAGGGTGCGAGTGTTGTAGTCAATCTCTCCTGACATGTGTTATTTTTTTTGCGTACTGAATAGATTGCGAGACTTGACGTCAGCCTTACTTAAAATGTACATTTAGTGTGCGTGACGAATAAAGTATGAGACTCGTAGTGCCGAATAGAGTGCCAGACTTGACGTCAGACTTACTTAAAATATGCGTTTTATGTGCGTCCCGAATAAAGCACGCGACTCGTAGTGCCGAATAGAGTGCGAGACTTGAATTTAATCTTACTAACCATGTGCGTTTTAAGCGTGCCGAGTTTGTGGAGAATCTCACCGACATGTGCGTTTTTTGTGCGCGCCGAAGAGAGTTCGAGACTTTGGTGTGATCGCCTTCCATTACGCGACATCATGTAACTAGCAGTAAAAATATATTCAGTTGTCCATGTTTCTAAGGTTAAGTTAGGTTAAGAAAGTCAGTAGTTGTGTATCTATAGCGGAAAAGTTTTTTCGCGTTCTTTTTAAAACATTGTTCTTTGCTTAAACACGACAAGAGAGCGGTAGGGATATTTATTGTTTTTTTAGAGGGCACGGTAACGAATCTTGCAATCTGATTGGTTATTTACCCGGTCAGTATTTTCCTATCTCTGCCCACGAGCCACGGTAACGCTTTCGTGAGTCGCCGAGTACATCCCAACTTTCGTTGTCATTTTTCATAAATATAACTCGTTTTCCGGCTGGGCATAATGTTTGTATAAACAATAATGTCATTACGTTGGTTGACAAGCGGCCTAAAAACCGTCTGCAATTAATTTTAATCGTTCACAAAAAGTACCCAGAAAGTTGAAACGTGAGGTATTTGGTTACAGTTAAACTAAACGATGGAACTTTCATTCATTTAATATCTAAATTTTCTCGAGCAATTTGTTCATAGTGAAAGAGCGAGCGAAGTTTTAATTTAAGTTCTACAAAAAATATACGCTCTCGGTGAGTCTTTCCAATTCCGTTCAATTTGGACATTTGTACCGTAAATTGCACAACAGAAACTGAAGGAATTTTTTTAGAAGAGGTCGCATTAAATTCCCTTGTGTCTCGTTGGAGTGTGCCGTTCGAGTTTAGTTTTTGTGAAGGAGAGACTAGAGTTAAACACGCCATTACAGCAAACAAACGAGCAAACTCTCACAACTTCAAAATAAAAAAAATTGAATTTACTCACAATTACTTTCCTCGCCGTTTACTTAATTAATGAACAGAGGTAAATCTTCGTACGCGAATGAATGGTCAATGAGAGTGAATAATACTTTCCGTTAGATCATTGACTGATTTTGAAGAAAACATTTTCGTGACAGTCCTTGCCAAACTAGTTCCGTTGTTTTTCAAATGTTCCCCCCCTTTTTTTTTTCTTGCGCGCTCTCTAATTGACAGGTGTCAGATTGTGACAGATACTTGTAAAAATAATGTTTCAAAGTTTGTTTGGAAGTCTTTTAAATCACCTTTATCGTTACGGAAATGAAAATGTTTCGCTGAGGTATCTCTCTTAAATTTGCATCACCTCTATTTCAACTAGCATTTACTCACTCAAAAATTGTTCAGTTTATGGAAGATCTTGCCGTATTTACGGCCATAAATCATCCGGGTTCTTTCGGAAAGAATTTCGTGAAGTTTAAAAACAATAAATATGTTATTTACCGGCTAAGGGTCGGTCCGTATGGTGAAAAACTGTGACCTCGGTCTTGAAAATGCTTGAAAATGCTCGGTCACGGTTTTTCAGCATACGGACCTCCCAGCCGGCAAATAACATATATATATGCGCCACATCGAGAGAAGTCGAACTCTCGGTTAAACCGATATTTTACAGATATATTTTGGAGGTACTCGGATATACAAGGATATACCTATGGGTAAAGCACTACGTGAGGACAAGGCGTTAAACACCGTTTTCTTTCGAAAAAATAGAATGAGCTGCTTCCAAAATTAAAACATCCACCTGTGGTAGTTAAAGAAGTGAGAGGTAGATTCGATTTCATATCAAATAAAGAGATTTTTGGAGACAACTCTTAGAAAAATAAGATATTATGACGTCGCTTACCTAGCGATGGTACTTCTGAAGATATGGTCACGGTGATACTCGCAGTAAAACAGAAAACTAATATCAATTATGCATGCACTCTTCTGGCATCCTGATAAGTTCTTAGCTCGTTTGACAAAAAATATGCGAAGAGGATCGCCTGCAAATAACTGACGGGATTCTTACTATAGATAAAAACAGCTCAAGTCAGTCCCACAAGGGGAGAGATATGAATTGTTGATGCGTTGAAAAGTCATTATAATCCTGATAACGTACGGTATTAGACAAAACGAAATCGTTGGCAGAGTACTTTTAGGTTCGCGGGTAATTTCTTTATCGGCTATCACGTTCTTTACCAATTCAAACGTTTGTTAACTTTGGGGAATATTACGATGTTATCTTTTCCTAATATTTGTATTATCTCTCCCTTGAAAATTTATTTCGATTACATTTCATAGCCATTTGTTACAATAAAGAACATTATCATTAATTGATCGTGTTGTTGTCCTTATTTTGTTGGCAAAATTGTCGCTACCTAAATTTAAATAACACTACTTGAATATTAGTTAATCAGGGTAAGAATTTCGAGACCCGCGGTACTCAATTTACGCAACGTTACACTGAGGGATCTAAGCGTCTAGTGGGCTTTTATGACTCTTTGTGAAACGAGTAGCCTAAAGATTAGTCAAGAATTCAGCGTCAAACAAAGTATGTCACCGAAAGGTCAGCCTTTAAAGCGAGAGCAATTCGACAAAACCGTATTTTGCGTGACGAATACTGAGTGACCACATGGCGTCAATTGCATTGTCAGTCATAATTTATGCGTTGTGCTCTTTTCGGCATTTTACAGGCACCCATTTGACGGAGAATGCGTTTCGAGTTGTAAGTTAAATGCTTAAGGATGTGTTCACCGAGCGCAGAACGTGGAATCGCTAGTTTGCGTGACCCGCAAGTATGAAGACATGGGATATCATTACCTTATCACGTGAAAGAGGCTGTCTGTCTACAGGACATTTCGGAGAATGGCCTCTGAGGGAAGGAAATTTGCAACATCAGTCAAACAAAAGAATCAGACAACAAACAAAATCTTTAAAAATCGGTTATCGCGTGTATTATTTATTATAAAGTCATCACTGGGCCATATCTTGTTGCGGAATCCATAATGATAGACTTATAGCATATAATTAACATTTGCATTTAAAAGACAAATTGTAATTAGTTTCAGTCGATTCATGTTTAACAAAGTAAACGAGAAAGATCAAATCATTCGATGACCCTCTTAGACGCGCTTGTGCTGAAGCAATCGAAGACACTTAAAAGGCAGCCAACAAATATTTGATCAAATATTTGATAGCTTTGCGTCGCATTTATAAGTACTCACACCAAACTCGAACCAGTTTGAATTGTTTTATGCCGGATAAAGCTATCTAGCAGTTATTTCTATATAGCTAAGGCACACTATGATACCCCTTGGAAAGTGACTCAACCGGTCAATATCGTAATTCAACTTTCAGATAACCTTAATTGTTTTCAGTTGTAGCTTGTTTCGACATACAATGATTCGCCCTTACCTCAACAAACTCTCCAAGCATATGTTACAAAGTCTGTGGCCACATCCTCCGATCTGTATGGGATCTTTCATTGTTAACTGACACACAGGACATTCAAAATCATCGGGAACTACACTTGTAAACTCAAAATCATAGCCTCCAAGCTCTGGAATATTCTGACCCGCCGCCATTGTGATCTGGGTTTCAGAACGAAGCCGGAAGAGAGAATTAGGTGTGCGCATGTGTGACTTTCAGAGTAACAAACCTAGTTCCCAAACTCTCTGAGACTCAAATTAGGCCCTCTGACTCCAGCACTAGGAAAAATCCCAACATATATTCAATATTTGTGAGACAAAACACGCATTAACAGATCAAAGAACAACAACAGAGGCGGGGCACACAACTTGAAAGTCGCATTGTGCATTTTAAGTGGGGAAGTGAAACATGCTACATGTTCCTGCGTTGCTGGGAAGGTTGGTTTTTGTAACCATATATTAGCACTCTTGATGAAGATTTGCAAATTCTCATTATATGAATGTAAAACTGTCCATGAACTTGAAAACGAAGAAGACATGCAGCCAAAGCAAGCATGTACTTCCTCTTTACAGAGGTGGCATAGGAAGGGAAGAGGAGACTCTATAAATCCACAACCAGCAATGGAGGTGCTTGTAGCAAAGACCTACCTGGAGCAGCCCAGATCATCAGCTCGAGAACCTGGTGTCAGATGTACACTATATGAGGCAAGGAATAATATACGGGGGCAAAAGGCAGATGAAGAGAAACTATTGGCAACCTTGAAAGAATTGAACCCAAATATGGCCCTAGCACAGATTATGACCCCAAAGGCTGATTCTATTCCCTTAGTAGAAACCAAATTTGGCAGAAGTCCACAAGGCTCGTATGCTAGCTATCAACTTGCAGTGACCGAAGATAATTTCAAAGTGTTTTGTGACATCACGTCTATCCCAAGGGCAAACCCTGCCAACCATGGTGAGCATATTGTGACATATCCAAGATTTCCCCTATCAAGTCAGTCTAATGAACAGTTTGAGATACCTGCTGATCTTTCAGAAGCAGAAAAATCACTGTTAAAGGATCTGCAAGTTGATGAAGATAAACTGAATGGCATTGAAATTAAAACACGCAGCCAATCAGAGTGCCCTGAATGGAAGTTGGAAAGGAAATTCCGATTTACTGCCTCCAATTTTGGTCTTATACGGGACAGAAAAAGAAACCATGAATCTTTAGTACAAAATCTTATAAATCCAAAGCCTTTTTCATCAAGATATACTAATCATGGACTTAAATATGAGCCAATTGCCTTAGAACAATACCAAACATATATGTCCTCTATTAACAAGTCAGTGAAGGTTTTTAAGTCAGGACTTGTAATAAGTATGGATGCCCCATACTTGGGTGCATCACCAGATGGCAAGGTTATTGATCCTGGATGCTCTGATCAATTTGGTCTTTCTGAGGTCAAGTGCCCAGAAACCAAGTACTTAGTCACCCCACTGGATGCATGCTCTGATAGCAGCTTTTTCATGGAAGAAGTCGATGGAAAGCCTAAACTTAAACGCACCCATAAATACTATGTCCAAGTGCAAGGGCTGATGGGTGTGACCGGGGCAAAGTGGTGCGATTTCATCGTCTACACCAGTAAGGGAATGAGCATCGAGCGAATTCCATTTGACGTGCAATTTTGGAACAATTTAAAGGACACATTGAAACTGCATTATTTTAAACACTTCCTAGCTATAGCAGCTAGAGAACCAAGAGCATAAGGCAAAGTCACTGTTATTATAATATGCATGTTTACTACATGGTGAGCCCCTGTTTGGGACATTTAAACATCAAAACAATTAACTACTGTTATACAATCATTAGGTTCATGAGGCTCTGGATTCTGGGGGGGGGGGTACTCCATGTATCATTGGGTTGAGAGGTGTGGCTCAGACACTTGAAATCTGACCATGTTTAAGAAGAGAAACTTTCCCACCCTGCAGACTTTCAGACAGAATGCTGATTTTGGTTCCCTGCTTAAGAAATTTAACCCAAAACAATCCCTAAAAGCCATACACAGGCTGGCTGCATGTCCACCATAAGCCCTAATGGAGCACCCCCCTATTCCCACCTTAGGTTTATATTTATGTGTTTCATGTAACATCATGGGTCTATAGTGTTTTGTTATTGTTCAGACATTGTGCAAATGCTAAACTTTTAGGTTAGCAGGACATTTAAGTGTTATAACTAGCCCTGCCGTCAAGTCAATTTTACTGTTGTGGTTCATATTTATTTTTGGTTTTGCATTTTTCAAACCAGTTTGATTTATGATTTTGTATGTTTCTAAATATCATGTTTTAAACACAAAAAGTGACAAAAACAAAACTGGTTTGAAAAATATTTTAACTAAAGATAAATGAAAACAACAACATTGGCTTAGTAAAACAATAAACATAAGCAGATCATGTGATATTAGATATGAGTGGATCCTGAGTATTGCACAGGAAAGCACAAACAGTCCATATTTGGTTAACGACACTAAATAAACTCAGAGGAACAACTCCATTCCAAATTCGGAAGTTCTTTATCTTGTTGATGGCCCTTTCGACGTGTATCCGAAGACTTGCAATCTGCTGTGTCCTAACAACATCTTCGGCAGACATTTGAGCATCACTGCCTAAAAAGGGTGGGATATTCAGATCCACACCAAGGGGCAGGATGTCTTGTATCTGAAATCCCTTGTCTGCCATAACAGAGTCACCATCTTCAAAGGATTGGGACAAAAATCCACTCCGTAAAACAATTTCGCGGTCAGAGATGCTGCTGGTATAAAGTTGACTGCAAAATGTAATAGCTCCACTTGGTGCAATACTGACAAGTCCTTTCAATGTCACATGGTTTTTGTACGAGCTGAAAAGTTCAGAGTTCAAAAGCAAACTGCTTGGCATTTCACAAAAGACCTCTGTGCAGTCAATAATGACTCGCGTTGAGAGAAATTTTTCTTTGAAATCTGCAGGCATAGTTGCCTGAACAACTGACTTAGGAGGCCAGATGCAAACCTGGCCAAATTTCAGATACATGAAATTAATCCATGGCACAAAAAGCCTGCTTATGGTGGACTGGGCAACACCATACAAGTGAGCTAAATGGCGCTCTGAAAAGCCTCTTCTCAGGCGGCATAAGACAATAAAAAATTCTTCAACTGGTTTGAGTTTTCGTGGGCGTCCTTTCTTTGCAGGTGAAATGTTTTCTTCATCATCAGAGTCCACATCATAAAAATCCTCTGGCACATCTTTTAAGGTGCTTCTTGGACGAATGTTTTCTCCATTTTCACCTGGGTTCAAAAAGTTAAATAAGGCGAGGAAAGTAGCATAATTTGGAAGGCCAGTATAAAAGTTGATGTCAGCGTCTGATGTAAAGCGTTCCAGAGAAAATAGTCGGGCCGAGATAGCCTCGTTCTGTTTCTCTACCTCGTCCAATTTCTTTTTTAGCTCAGTGTTTTCCTGTCGAAGTTTTAACACCTCCTCTTCCAGTTCCTCGATCTTTTTTGGCGCATTTAACTCCGAACAAGTATCGTTTGGCTCAGTATTTCGGTTAGAGGCAGTTGCCGTCGACTCGGAAAGTGATTCCGCCGTGATATCTGTTTCGCTCACTACATGTAACTCGGTGTGATCAGAGGAAGCAGACGTTGTTGCAAATAATTTCTTCTGAGGCAGAGGATGTCTTTCTGGAGGAGCTTTTCTTTTCCTTGGAGATGGAACTGACCACGAAAATCTGGTTGGAACGCCACCGGGAGCCACATAAGCCTGTCCATTGAATGATTTTCTTAAATCTTCTCGCCTAAAATGAAGGGAACAAACTTTTGTTCCATCGACGATCTTAAAATCCTTTCCTTCACGGCGAATTGCGTGAATCCACTGTTTTCTCCTCGTAGGAGTGCGTGGGAATTCAAAGAAAGAAACTTTCTCTCCTATGGGCGTCTTCTTTCCTTTCTGATTGCATTCAGGGACACAACAACTCGTAACCATATCGAAAAGCGTAGAACAGAACAACTACAAAACACTTACTCGATGGACTCGAAGGACGCGTTGTCAAAACAAACTCGAGGCCTCACTAGCCTCGCTTTCGCGCAACTAGACCCAGTCCTCCCAAGTGGTCCGCCATATTTGCATTCGGTGTATGGCTGAGTTACAAAAAAAATTATATTTCAATTATCTCTAGATTTACAAAGAAGCAATTATTTCTTCAGTGACATCTACAGGGACTTTGTTAATGTTATTCCTCTTTCTCTTTAGTTCTCCACACACATGCCGCACAGTGCCAGCCAAAACAAACACACTTTTTTTTACAACAAGTTTGTATGTCATGTCAATGATGTTGTCTCTGATAAAAAAGTTGCCTCTTAGTCCAACTGATCCTCTTGGAAAGGTGCAGCCATAGTCATCTGTGACTGCCTCTTCCAGTTCTACCAAGCCATTGCTTGTAACTTTCCAAAGGTAGTATTCGAAGTCGGGGTCATCTGCTGCTGCAATGGCTACTACACTACCTTCAGCAGCAAGGTCTGCAATTCTGACTGCAGTGTCACCAAGGGTTGCTTCAGTATCCTGGAGAGCTTGCCTGGTTGTAGCAACAGATGACTCCCTTTCGAGAATGACCTCCTTCCAGTCGTCCATCCACTCCTTATTACTGCATTTCCCCTCGTCACCACCAATACAGTCAGTAAAATAAAAAGTACGGCTTTGGACAAACACCCGTCCCTGCTCTGCAGTTGTCTTAATGCAGTGTAGCTTCCAGATGCCTTTGAGTGTCTTGAAAGTTCTGTCTGGTCTGCGTCTCACGACAGCACCTTCACCTTCCGTAGAAACAAAAGAAAACCCTACGAGCCAGTCCCACTGCTTTAGCTCGTGAAGCAAATGAAGAAGCTGATGGAGTGGTAAAGTTCTCAGCAAGGAAGTCGGTCATGTCCTTGCCATTCTGGATCACTGCTGTTTTCCTCAGCACAGCCTGACTAACCTTCTGCTTCACATTGGCTCCAGCAGCATCCTGCTCACCCTTTGCATGCGCAACATGTACTCCACCCCTAAATTATCTGATATCAATAATTGCTAATATGAACTAAATTATCAGATATATATAATCTACACGACGTGTGTAGCACTGGTACCTAGTAAATCATCGGTCACCTTTCTCCCAAAATGGCGGCTTCCAATATGGAAATCAGGATGGAAACTGATGAATATTCAGAAGGTATTTGCATTTTCATGCGAACAAGTTTTGCTTTAATTTGAGAAAAGAAACGTAGTAAAGAAGACAGTGACGAAGAGTATGACAGGCTTGCACACAAGGCGTGGAAAAAGAATGAAGTTGAAAAAACAAGAGCTAGAGCCAAGAAACAAAATGCAAGAACCAGTGACAGTACCAGTGATGACCTTGTCGACAGTGACAAAGAATACAGGAAGCTAGTGACCAAAGGTTTGAATGCAGAATGCAAAGGAGACATAATGGAGAGCAACCACAAGGAAAGTTTCGATAATGATACAGAGGACAAGTGGGAAGAAGAGATTTACAGCGAAGAAGAGAATGCAAATACTCGTAACAAGAACGAAGATTTTGAATGTGTTGAGATCTCTGACAGTGAAGAGAGTCGAAAATTAGATCCTGATTACCTCTGTAGCGAAGAGTCGGATCTAGATACCTCGGCACAATCAATCACATCAATCTCTTCCTCGTCTCTCTCTCAAGAATGCGAGGGACTATTGACTGAGCTAATTGAGGTAATTGGCGAGGACAAAATCAACGAAGGATCATTCCTTGATAATGAGGAAGACTGGCGCGAAACGGTAAAACAGTTTAAAAGTAGAAGAATAGCTGAAGGCCATACCTTCAAGAGTGAGCTCGAGTCTGCTGAGGAACTGGCGCGAGTCAACGAAGATAGCATGTATGAGGCATTTCATGAAGCACTTGATGGAGATGAGAGCGATAACGACGAAGCATTGGACACAAACTGGGTCCCAAGCGACTGTGAAATCAGTGAAATCGATAACATCAAGACCAAAGGCCAACCTGGAGGCGTTGACCTAAGCACGGGAACACTGCTGACAGAGTTCTATGAATGGTTGACGGACGTAGACGGAGGATATCTAAGCGAAAAAATGGCGCAGCAGTACAAATCTCAGGTTTTAAGCATCATAAAGAGGCTTCAGATGAATGAAACGGAAGTCAGACACGACAATCCAAAACCACCCGTGTACCTGCTCTTGCTTCCTGGAAAAGAAGGAGTAACTCTGTTGAAGCAATGGTTGTCTCATGCTGTTTCCAAGTACCAACCTGGAACTGTGCGCTCATATCTTATGAGTTTGCATTTATTTTATAAATTTTTGACGCAAGAATGCAAACCCGACATGTCTGAAGTAAGCGTTGACATGTTAAACGCCCGCCGGGATCTGATGTCTTCCTGGTCATCGGCCCAAAAGAAGAAAGTTCTGAGAAGAAAGCTTCAGAAGCACGAGGAAGATTTTAAGAAACTGATCACCAGTGAAAATCTCTACCAAATCTGCCATGGTGATCAGCGAATAAATGCAGTAAAACAGCTTGGCAATTCGTCAAAGGAAACCAGTCAGGGGGCCGAGGTTCAAAGGATAATCAGCGACAAAACTCACTGCGAAGTAAGGGATTGGTTGATGACTTGTCTCGTCATCGACAATAGTGGAAGAAGTGGGGTCATTGCAAACATGACCGTAGCTGAATTCAAGGACGCCGTTTATCACTCGGGTACAGACGAAGAGCAGGCTCGTTACAGAATTCTTGTTAGTAACCACAAAACAGC